GTTTCGTGAAAAATGTAAAATTATGTATACCGACACAGATAACCTCATATATCACGTAGAATGTGACGATATCTACGATGTTATGAAACGCGATATAAATAGATTTGACACGAGTGATTACGCAGTTGACAACGCGTACAGTATTCCGCTCGCGAATAAAAAAATTCCAGGCCTTATGAAAGATGAGAACAACGGCGCCATTATGACCGAATTTGTAGGGCTTAGAGCAAAAATGTACGCTTTTCGTGTACAAGGAAAGAAGACGCGAAAAAGGCAAAGGGTGTCAAGAGCAGCGTTGTGGCAAAATCCATAACATTTGAAGATTACACATGCTGCTTGAACGATGCAATCGAAATGACGCGCAGACAGTCATGCATAAGATCCAAACTGCACGAAGTGTACACGATATCGGAAACAAAAATCGCTCTAAGTCCGCACGATGATAAGAGGTATATCGTATCAGGTTCCACCGACACGCTGCCATGAGAGCATTACTGATGTAAATAAAACACAATTATATTATATAATATATTTAATACTTATAAATGTATAATATAATATGTATAACATGTATATAATATGTATATAATATGTGTATAATGTGTATAAGACGTATACTATGTGTACTATGTATTATATAATATGTGTAATATGTACGAGTAGATATAATATGTATAATATTTGTAATACACATATTTATATTGAAGAGTATACAATATTTTTCAATATATTTTTATATGTATTTTTATAAAAAATTTATATATATATATATTTTTTTTAATAAATATATAATTTACTTCACATTGTCTTTATGAATCGACGAATTGTGTGAATTTTCAAATCCCAATCATTTCACGTAAACCTCGTTTCCCCTCTTGCACAACATCTTTTCGATGAGATGCACGTCGGGATTAGCGACGCGATGCAATTCGTATTCGTAGAATCCTCCAGCGATAGGCTCTTCGCGAGAATCTTCCAGTAGATGCGTCACTGGATTAGTTTGCTGCACTTTGATAATTTTAAAGACCTCCGTAGTCCAATTCGGCGTGTAGCTTTATCAAAGACTGTCTTGAATTTGCTCACGCGTACCAAATCACCCACTTTGTATCGCGCGGGTGTGGCAATCTTAACGCGATTGTTAAGAGCCTGTCGGCGATAGCGGGGGTAACGTCGACGGGACGCATACCGATAGTTCGATGCTTGCGCGTGTTATAATTTGATACGAGACGCGGCAGGATATCAATCCATTTATAATTTCCGTAGTGCGTAAATTGTTTCCACATGTCGTTCTTCAACGTACGGTTGAACCGTTCGACCGACGCCTTCAGTACGGAATACGTAGAATAATGGTTGATGTTGTGCTTCTACAAGAGTTTCTGCACATCCGAGTTGTAAAATTCCTTTCCTTTGTCGGTCTGCAAATTTTTCGGATATCTTTTATCGTCTCGAATTATCTTTGCGTTCGCATTCGTCACATCGTTTCCACTCTTGGCTTTAAGCGGCACTGCCCAAGCGTGCTTACTCAGCACGTCGATAACGGTGAGAATGTAGTGGTAACCTCTATTGAATCGTGTATATGGACGCATCTCGACCACATCCGCCTGCCACAGATCGTCGTATCCATGTACTATGACGCGTCTTCGCGGAAAATTTCTTCTCGCCGGAGCGTGCAATTCATTAACCAACAACCGTTTCTCGGACATAGCGAATAATTATTCGGCACGATGCACTTCTCGAATCATCTTTTCAAATTCTTTTAGCAAAACTTGTACATTATTCTGTATACATTATTCTGTATCATAAGGCTGCAATCTTCCTCTCGATTTCATTCAGACGATCTTTCAAATCTTGAACACTCTGCTGCACGTATCGCTTGTTTACTGCGTCAGCATCATCTACCGGTAGCGCTACTCGTCGAATTTTGCGCGACTTTGCGTCAAAGTCGGCTGCGACTATACAAAGAGCGTTATCGCGCACGTAATTTCTGAGCA